AAAGAAGACATGGTGTCTGATTTTAAAAAACATTCTAGTCTAGCAGAGAGATAAAAGGAAACAATGGCCACTTGGTGTGAAGTATAGACAGCCATTGAGGACCTCACCCTGACCTAGTGGATGGGACCTCACTGATGCCTTTGCCTTCTGAACTTCTGAATGTGGTCAAGAGCAGGTAGAGTAGCTGTGCAGTTGAGGATGAATTAACAGGCTCTACACTTGCCTTTCTCCGTTTGTGCAGGGTGAAGATGTCTGCCCAGAGATTAATCTCTAACAGAACCTCCCAGCAATCTGCACCTAATTCTGATTACACCTGGGAATATGAATATTATGAGATTGGACCAGTTTCCTTTGAAGGACTGAAGGCTCATAAATGTAAGTCTATAGTTCCCCATTGTAAATATAATGTATTTGTCTTAACCTGTGAAATCCCCAGTGATTAATTTTCCTGAACATTCTTTTTACACAACTCTGTTCTGTATCCCTCAAGTCCCAGAAAACACCCCCTTCCAAACATAGGCTGACTGCTCAGGGATGGTATTACATGAGTGACAAAGAACTTGAAAGGTTCCCTTAGTGGGGGATCCTGAGTCAATGTCATTCTCAAGCTGAGATTCTTTTTAAAGTATTAATCATTCCAGCTCTCCCGAACTGTGTGAACATTTGGACCATCAAAAATATGTACAAAAGGAAAGTCTGGAGCTATTATTTGAAGAACCTTCTTTTGTATCTCATGGTCAACGGCATCCTTTCAGCCCTGCTGGGTTTCTGGGGCTGTAGAGAGCAGTCTATCTGTGTGCATTCATAATGATGGACTGGAATAGCCTGCAGCCATTCCTAATTCTGCATGATAGGCATAAATTGTGCTTCATGTTATTGGAGTGATTAATAATCCAGCACAAAGCAAGGAAATACAATTCTGTGCAAGGTTACTGTCCAACTCGAGTCATATAACTGCATGCTCCTGGTCAGCACGAAGCATCTGTCTTCCAGGAACTACTGCCCATTCCCAGATCCTGTTGTGGTTACCCAATAAATATCCCAGAGATGTTTGGTTGTTTCAGAATGAATATCCATAGCGCAATAAAAATGTTAGGTTCTTAACTGGTTCAGCTTTATGGGACACCTTAGGAACTAAAAGAAAGATTAGAAATGGAGATGCAAATATGGCAAAGGAAATGCCTTTGCTCTCTTAGTATTTCCTGGGTGCTGCCACTCTGATGTGTGTTGGCGTCCATGATGCCCCACATTCACCTGCTGCTCCCTTGTAAGGAAGGCTTTCTAAATTTTGTTCAGCTTTCTTGAGGTATAATTGACAAAATTGTAATATATTTAAAGGGTACAAAGTGATGATTTGATACACATATACATTGTGAATGGATTCCCTCCATCGAGTCAATCGACATACTCATCACCTCAGATATTTCCCTTCATTTATTTATTTTTTGGTGAGAAGATTTAAGTTCTACTCCCACAGATTTCAGTTATATAATACATATTGTCAACTATACTGACCATGTTCTATGTTAGATCCTCGGGCCTTATTCCTCTTATAACTGAAAGTTTGTACCTTTTACCAACCTCTCCGTTTTCCCCACCCCCAGTCCCTGGCAACCAATTTTCTACTCTCCGTTTCTATCAGTTTGACTTTTTTTTGGTTCTTATTTCACATAGCATAATGCCCTCCAGTTTCACCCATGTTGTCACAAATGACAAGATTTCCTTCTTTTTAAAGGCCAACTAATATTTTAGTGTGTCTGTGTGTGTGTGCATCTATGTAAGTGATGGACACTTAGGTGGTTTCCATACCTTAGCTATTGTGAATAATGCTTCAGTGAATGTGGGAGTATGGATATCTCTTCAAGATAATGGTTTTGTTTCCTTTGGATATATATCCAGAAGTGAGAATGCTGGGTCCTAGGTAGTTCTATTTTTACTTTTTTGAGGAAACTCCATACTATTTATCATGGTGGCTGTACCAATTTACATTTCTACCAGCAGTGCACCATGATTCCCTTTTTTCCACATCCTCACCAGCATTTTTTATCTCTTGTCTTTTTTGAGAATAGATGTCCAAACAGGGATGAGGTGGTATCTCGCTGAGGTTTTGATTTGCATTTCCCTGATGATTAGTGGTGGTGAGCACCTTTTCATGTGCCTCCTGGCCATTTGGATGTCTTTGGGAAATATCTATTCAGGTCTTTTGCCCACTTTTTAATTGGGTTGCTTTTTGGTATTAAATTGTATGGATTCCTTATATATTTTAGATATTAACCTCTTCTCAGATATGTGCTTTGCAAATATTTTCTCCTTTTCCTTTTGTTGGTGCTTTCCTTTGCTCTGCAGAAGCTTTTTAGTTTGATGTAGTCCCACTTATTTATTTTGTTTCCGTTGCCTTTGCTTTTGGTATCAAATCCAAAAAATCATTGTGAAGACCGATGTCAAAAAGCTTGCCCCCTATGTTTATGACTATTATTTTGAACTCTCTGTCAGGTAAATTGCTTATATCTATTTCATTAAGATCTGGTTTTGGAGACTTATCTTGTTCTTTAGCTTGAAATATATTCCTCTATTTCTTCATTTCCCTTGACTCTCTGTGCTGGTTTCTGTGCATTAGAGAAAACAGCTACCTCTCCCAGTTTTGAGTGGTCTTGTGTAGGAGATCGACCTTGTCATTCAGCCTACCCTGGGCTCCTAGTTGCCTCTTGAACTTTTATGATTGTCAAAGCAAATTTCTTTGTTCTCAGTGGTTCCCAGTATTTGAGGGTGTGTCAAGACCTGCCTGTGTCCCCAAGGGGAAGATTGTGGTCGACACCTACCTAGATGCAGCCTGATTAGAAGCCAGACCGTTAGGCAGCAGCTGGGGAAGTATGCAATTAAATCCCTGCCAGGGAGAAACTAGGAGATGGAAGTTTGGTAGGAGGGGCGCAGGGCTCCAAGAGCACCAGGCTCTGGGGGTCCTAAACAGACCAGGTTTGGCCACTTGCAGCTGACAAAATCCAAAGGCAGGGAGATGAGTGCTGGTGGAACAAGAAAGGAATTTATTTCAGTGAGGCTGACATTGGGGTAGTTGGCCCTAGTCTGACCCTAGAGGAGAAGAGATAATCATGGAGAAACAGGATCATACCAGTAAAAGCCAGGCCGTCAGCTTTCTGCTCTGTTTCATTCCATTTATTAGCGGTCAGGTTGAAGGGAAGTTAGTTTATTATGACACATTCCATTTAGAATTCCCCTTGGCAATTTACTCTACTCCTTTACTATAATGATCTCTAAATTGTACAGTTCCTAGACAGGACAGAAGTGGCTGCTGGGCTCTGTTAGAAACACCTTTGGAAGGCTTCTCTTGGTTTCCTTAACCAACTGGCATCATTGGAGTTTCACTCTCTATAAACCTTTATTTTGAATCCTTCTCAGGGAAGGGTGCTTTGGAGAGGGCCAGGGGCTCTGCTTTCCCTGTTTGACTGCCATGGCCATGTCCGTGAAACTTGGTATATAAATAAAACTGCAAGAGCGTTTGGATATTCCTGGGAGGAGATGGGAATCTCTGATATTCCCCGAAAGGGGCTCTGCGTAAGAAAGTGCCCTCGGGTCAGGCCATGTGGCAGAGGATGAGGTAGAGGAAAACTAATGGAAATAATTAGAGGAAGCAAAATTCCGTTTGAAGAGGAATGTGAATAAACAGAGCCACTTAAAGCATATTGTGATAGGAAATGTAGATGCCGTGTCTTTAAGGAAGCATTTGGAAATGCTGTTGGATCACTGGCATTCTCAAGTTCTAACCATAGCCCTGATCCTCCCTAGTCTGCTCCCCTGTGACTTCAAGGGAGGGCCATGACCTTCTCATGCCCCACATTATTGCTGCCTTTTGATCAGCTCCCTGGGGCACTAGAAAGGCAGAGAGAAGGAACTAGGCTGGGTTAAAGGCACCCCTCCTCCCTCCCTGCCCACCCTGAGCTAGAGAAGTGAGAGACTGATGGGGATCCAGCCATGTTTGCAGCGTGAAAGCTGTCCTAATGTGAACACCTTCCAATGTGAATCAACATGACTAGATTAAATTCTCAACTGAGAACTTCAGTATAATTCTTGCATATACTTTTAGAATTTGCTTTTGCTATGCAGGCAGTTGATGAAGTACAGCATGCTGAACTGTCATCATCTGTACGGTGGGGCTTCACAGGCTGCGCTCCCCCAACTGAGATGTTATTATTGCATGTTGGTTGCATTTGTGTCCATGTGTTTCTTTGGTATTTGTCCTTTTGTCATTTTTAGGGTTCAGGGCAAAGTCTACAGTTTCTATTTCTTTGGCATTTTTAATCCAAGGAAAGATACGTTAGTTCTGTGTCCAGAGCACTGAATAAACATTGTTGAATAAAAATTAACTTCAGGGCAATCATATATGTAGAATGAAATATGAATTATTCAGAGTAAATTGCTAATCTGATTTCTTAACTCCAGAAAAAGGGCAATACATAATTTAATTAGAATAATGCTTTGCATTTAAACACATTTAACGTGTTTTTTTAAAACTTAATGTGTTTTTGTTTTTGTTTTTTTAAATTTCTAAGCATTCTCACTGTAATGTCATGTAGGTAAACTTAGAATAGATCAGAAAATGTAAAATATTTTTAGCCATTCTGACTGGTGTGAGGTGGTATCTCACTGGCGAGGATGCGGAGAAAGGGGAACCCTCCTACACTGTTGGTGGGAATGCAAGCTGGTGCAGCCACTCTGGAAAACAGTATGAAGATTCCTCAAGAAGTTGAAAATAGAGCTACCATAGGATCCAGCAATTGCACTACTGGGTATTTACCCAAAGGATACAAATATAGTGATCTGAAGGGGCAGCTGTACCCCAATGTTTATAGCAGCAATGTCCATAATCGCCAAAATATGGAAAGAGCCCAGATGTCCATTGACAGATGAATGAATAAAGAAGATGTGGGAACTGCTGAGCCCCCATCCGTCCGCCGCCACCCACTCCAAACACAGAACATCCAGTCATGGATAAAAATGAGCTGGTGCAGAAGGCCAACTGGCCGAGCAGGCTGAGCAATATGAAGACATGGCAGCCTGCATGAAGTCTGTAACTGAGCAAGGAGCCGAATTATCCAATGAGGAGAGGAATCTTCTCTCAGTTGCTTATAAAAATGTTGTAGGAGCCTGTAGGTCATCTTGGAGGGTCGTCTCAAGTATTGAGCAAAAGATGGAAGGTGCTGAGAAAAAACAGCAGATGGCTCGAGAATACAGAGAGAAAATTGAGACCGAGCTAAGAGATATCTGCAATGATGTACTGTCTCTTTTGGAAAAGTTTTTGATCCCCAGTGCTTCACAAGCAGAGAGCAAAGTCTTCTATTTGAAAATGAAAGGAGACTACTACCATTACTTGGCCGGGGTTGCTGCTGGTGATGACAAGAAAGAGATTGTGGATCAGTCACAACAAGCATACCAAGAAGCTTTTGAAATCAGCAAAAAGGAAATGCAACCAACACATCCTATTAGATTGGGTCTGGCCCTTAACTTCTCTGTGTTCTATTACAAAATTCTGAACTTCCCGGAGAAAGCTTGCTCTCTTGCAAAGACAGCTTTTGATGAAGCCATTGCTGAACTTGATACATTAAGTGAAGAGTCCTACAAAGACAGCACGCTAATAATGCAATTACTGAGAGACAACTTGACATTGTGGATATCGGACACCCAAGGAGATGAAGCTGAAGCAGGAGAAGGAGGGGAAAATTAACCGGCCTTCCAACTTTTGTCTGCCTCATTCTAAAATTTACACAGTAGACCATTTGTCATCCATGCTGTCCCACAAATAGTTTTTTGTTTACGGTTTATGACAGGTTTATGTTACTTCTATTTGAATTTCTGTATTTCCCATGTGGTTTTTATGTTGAATATTAGGGGAGTGGAGCCAGTTAACATTTAGGGAGTTATCTGTTTTCATCTTGAGGTGGCCAATATGGGGATGTGGAATTTTTATACTAGTTATAAATGTTTGGCATAGTACTTTTGGTACATTGTGGCTTCACAAGGGCCAGTGTTAAAACTGCTTCCATGTCTAAGCAAAGAAAACTGCCTACATATTGGTTTGTCCTGGTGGGGAATAAAAGGGATACTTGGTTCCAGATACAGGTGTAGTTTTTGTGGGTACTTTAAGGTTTGGAGCACTTATAAGGCTGTAGTAGAAATGGGTATTCTGTAGATATTACCTATTGAACCATGAGTATCTGTGGAATACTCTCAATGTGCACACCTTTGACTACAGTTGCAGAAGTGTTCCTTTAATTGTGACCCAATTTACTCTGGATAAGGGCAGAAACGGTTCACATTCCATTATTTGTAAAGTTACCTGCTGTTTGCT